TTCAAGCCCAAGGTCCAACTCACACTCCAAAAGGCCCAAAAGTCAAGTGATGGGCCAAAGCCCAACATATGGCCCAATTTTCCAAATTGGGCCCAAACCTCTACATGATCTTTCCTTAAGGCCCATCCATTTATTCTTGTCCACACTCTTGGTACTCCAATGGCCCAATATCTCACAATCATCAAGGCCCAATTATGGCCCACCTATGGCCTAATTTTCCAAATTGGGCCCAAACATTTTTAATGGGCCTTATCCTAAAGCCCATCTAAAATATTTCAATCCATATGCTTGTTTTTGGATGACCCATTAATAACCTAATCACAAAGCCCAAAAGAAAGGCCCAAGTGAAATTAGGGTTTTCACATGAAATGACGATTAGGGTTAAGTGTTCCTACTTAACCCAATAAGGACTTAATCCATTAAGTCCAATATTGACTTAGGTTAATTGCAAATGATTATTAATTAATATTTTAAGTTTAATAAATAATTCCAGTGCGGGTCCCGATTAAATCCCCAAAATTAGGGTTTCATGACATTAGGGTTTTCCAAACCCTAATTAGGGTTTCCAACCCAAATACTAACCCATTAGTCAAATGGTTGGGCTTTTAGGTCAATTAGGGCTTCATTGGGCCCATTAGGGTTTCATTAAGCCTAATAGGGTTTCACTAGGCCCATTAGGGTTTCGTTAGTCGGGCACCACCCACTACCACCTCGGGTAGTGGTGGTCAACGACGACTCACAGCGACGACGGCCACCTCATGGTGGTGGTTATGGTTCTAGTCCATTTGTCCAAGCATCCCAAACGAATCAAAACACAAACAAGGCACACCGCCACCCAACACGGCGGCTGGTGGCGGCAGCCACCACCTCATGGTGGTGGTTTTGAGTTTTCTTTTGATTATTCCGACCTGATTACATCTTTACAATGCGAAATCCCAAAATAACTCACACACACACTAAGCTAAACACACACACACACAGCCAACCTTATGGTGGATGGCGGTGGCACATGGTGGCAGCCACCACCTCACGGTGGTGGTGGTGGCTTCCTTGGTTTTTTAGTCACACAAAACACCCACAAACCCTAAGATAATCACACCACGCTACAAATTTGTGAGATGCACCCCAGCCACCCACCTTGTGGCTCACGGCGGCGACAACAACAGATTGCGATGACAGCCACCACCTCACGGTGGTGGCGGTGGTTCTTTTGATTCTCAACCGAGCGCAGCATCGACAGAAGATGGCGGTGGAACCGCTGTTGAAGTGGTGGTGGCGATAGAGCGGTGCAATACGGTATCCGGCGGCTGGAGAGTCACGTATCGGCGACGTAACAGGTGGCGGATGAGGGCTCCTCATGGCGGTCGAGGTCCACTGTGAAAGACAATCGACGAGCAGTAGCACTCGCGGGCCTTGTTCACCGTATCTTCCTCGACTATGACGTCGGATCCGGGGCTTCTCGTCTTCAACGACAGTGGGTGAAGCGGTGGTGATCGAACCCGGCCAGACAGCGGCGGTCGGAGGTTGAAGATGGAGAGGGTGGCAGCTGTTACATCCCTTAGGGTTAGGGTTTGGACGGGAGTTAAATACCCGATACCCTACAAAACTTATTCCCATAATAATAATAATGGTCCCTTCCTTCTAAAATCATTTCGAATTCACTCCATTATTTACCTTTTAAACCCCGACTCCCACAATTCCTCTCATATTAGGTCCAACAGTTACCAAACAACCCCTCATCTACAAATTGTTTTCAGATGAAGTCCATATGTTACCATTTTGCCCCTAAGCCTCCAAAATATCTTCAAATTAAGTCCCAATAATTTACCAAGTAGTCCCTGCCTTCATAAATATTTACAAAACCAATTCGGAACTTACACTTTTAACCCCCAACTTCTAAATTATGTCAGTTAACTCCACGAAACCAACACCTTGCTATATAATTACGGATTTTAGGGCTACTATTCATCCATTAATTTGTTCATTTATTTATTTATTAAATGGGGTGTTACATGTTATGACTTATTCAAAATCAATAACACCATATATATCTCCATAATACTCAATTATGTGTAACACAAGTTTCAAACACTAAATTCATTCATATACATCATATAAATCATTTATGTATTCATATTAGACATATCATAAGCTCAATTCACCAAAATCATCAATTTAAAGTTTTAGGGTTCATAACAATTCATCCCCAAATTCACAAAATTGATTGTTATTATCACTCCATACACTTACAATCACGTAATTACTACTTCTACTTGCTATTACTCATCAGAATTCCGTAAAAGAAATCGATTGTTATGATTGGGGTAATTAAACCCTAAACCCGAGTTTGTCCTAATTGACATATTTAACTCATATATAGAACTTATTGTTGATTATAGAATTGGAAACCCATACCTTGATAGCTCCTTCTTAATCTCTTCTTCTTTCTCCCTTAAAATCTGACCAAAAGACCTTAACCTTCGTGTTTTTCTGTTCTGGAACGAGTATAAGGAAAATGAGAGATGAAAAGGAACTCTCATCCCTTTTATATGATTTTATTTATCACATTGTCACGTCGTGACAATACTTTTGTCACGTCGTGGAATAATTAGCTCACCACGTCGTCATTTTCCTTCAATTTATGACACTTCTGTTCCGTCGCTAAAAGTTTTTGTCATAAAAGAAGATGTTATTCTACTTTCTCACATCGTGTCTTATCTTCAGCATGTCGTGACCATTACAAAGTACATTACCCTCACTATTCACGTTATGTCAACCGGATTACTGCTTTATTTTCACGTCGTAGCACCGCTTCCGTTAATATTGAAATTTAACAACTCTTCATAATTTTTCCCGTTTTACCTCATTCATTTTATCCCACTCTCATTATATTAATTCCTTTCCATTAAGAACTTATTTATACTTTAGAATCATATCATTCCTTTAACAATCAAATAAAACTCCACTCAAATTTACAATTACACAAAATGACCAAAATACCATTTTTTGGACTAATTACTTTTACCAATACTTTTTTCTAACTTTTAATACACATACTTATACATTTTATACCACTACTTCATTACAAACACCATATTTATTTATATCAACAAAGATTTCGCTAATATCTTTAATTTCATCATTTACTCAAAATGACCAAAATACCCTTTTGGTCTAAACATTTCTATTACAAATTCCCACTTTAACATACTCATATACAACATTTTACACTATTAATCAGTCACAATTTATAGTTCATTCTAACGAAATAAGTGTCACATCACATCCTCCTCTCCCACATCAGCCAACACTCGAGGCTAGACCCAAACTTGGTTTATACTTCCAAAAACTAATTAATATTATGTATAATCCTAAAATATAAATAAAAAACATAAATTACAAAAAAAAATATTTTTACATAATTTTTTTTTTAATAAAACAAATATTTTTACGTATTTAAAAAAATATTTTTTACAAACAATTATTATGTTTTTTACGTATTTATTTTATATAAAATATTTTTTATGTGTTTTAAAAATACGTTTTTCCTATAATATGTTATTACGTTGTTATAATCCTAAAATATATTTTTATTTTATGTTAGTCTTTAGTTAATTTAAACTAAAAAGGCTAGTATACGTAAAATTATAGACATTTTCGAGACGTCTTTAGTTGATTTAAAGCAAAACGGTAAGTATACGTAAAATAAACTAAAAAAATATGCTTTTAATATATTAAAAAAATACGTTTTCATATAATATATTATTACATTATTATGATCATAAAACATATTTTCACGTTTTCATAAAAAAAATAAGTTCTTTTTTTTTTACGTAATTTTTTAAGGATATTTTAGGATTATAACAACGTAACAACATATTACAAAAACTTATTTTTTTAAATACATTAAAACATATTTTTTTAATTTATTTTACGTATATTTGTCGTTTTGCTTCAAATCAATTAAAGACGTCTCGAAAACGTCTGTAATTTTATATATATACTTGTCTTTTTAGTTTAAATCAACTAAAGACGTTAACATAAAATAAAAGTATACTTTATGATTATAACAACGTATACGTAACATAATATTATACGAAAATATATATTTAAAATAAATAAAAAAACATATTTTATACAAAATAAAGACATAAAAAGCATATTAACTGTTTGTAATTTTTTTTGCAATACGTGAAGGTATATTTTGTTTTATTAAAAAAAAAGTTTTATGTAAAAAAATATTTTTTTCTATATATTTTTTGGTTTTACATAATATTAATTAGTAATATTAGTTTTTGTAAGTATAAACCAAGTTTGACTCTACCCTAATTGGTTAGGGTGTTGACTGATGAGGGAGAGGAGGGGGGAGGAGGTCCCAAGTTTGAATCTTCCTCCCTTTAGTTTCTTGTATTTCTTTATTTCAAGACAAATTACAAAAATGGTCTATATGGTTTACCAAATATCACAAATTCAATCCTCACATGCCTAACACGTGATATGTGCTAATGGCTTAAAATTACGAAATATTACGAATTCAGTCTCTATGATACCTGAAAATACCAAAATACACCCACATGTCTAGAGAATTCAGTTTCTGTTATACCTGAAAAGACCAAAATACACTCACATGCTTAGCACATGATATGTGTTAAAAATGAAAATGACCAAATATCACGAATGCAATCCATGTTCTATCTGAAAAGACCAAAATATACTCATACGCCTAGCATATTATATCTAAAAAGACCAAAATACCCTCACATGCCTAACATGTGATATACACTAACGGTTGAAAATGGACAACATTAGTAAAAAGGACCTTTAATATATATGACCTTTTAACTTACTTTACTTAAAAATATTTATAAATAATATAATGTGTATGATTATCAATTAATTACAAAAACAACAAAAACACCACAAAAACACCACAAAAACGAGAAAATAATGTTTGACAAGTGACCTAAATTAGAAGAAGATAAAGTACATGACGGTTAAAAGGAAAGTAGAAAAAGTCGATACGATGGGAAGACTATCGCCCCCTTCGCGACCTTTCTTCTCCTCTCATGTCGGACATCACCCTCCCTCTTTCTCTTTCTTCTTATCTATAGAGCTCTCTCACTCTCTTTTTCAAATATACAAAAGCTACGTTATCTTTGATAATTCTTTTGTTATTTAAACTCAAAACCCTTTAAATGGACGCTGTAATTGGAGGTGCTGAAGGAGAGATTAGGGTTTATTATTTCATTCCCAGATTGATCTCCGGCGCTATCTCCGGTGCTCTTACTGGTCTCTTCGCATTCGGTAATTTATTACTTCGTTTTCCTAGTTCAGATTTTTTTCATATACTTTGATTTCTTTGATTAATTGTTATAAAGTTAGTGAAGTGTTGAGTCACTACTCTGTGTATAGCGACGTTTCCTTCTGGGCCTTCTGTAACAAATACCAAAATCTTTACAACCTTGTAATCCACGAAATCTCACAAAGCCTAATCATCTAAATCCTAACAATCATATCCAAAGTTATCAAAACTTTTAAAACGTATACACAATAAAATCCACAAAAAGTTAATTCGTCTAAATCCCAAAAAATTAGAAGAACCCTAATTACCAGGCTGTCTCAATCTCGCTTTAGTTCTATTCCACTCTCTCTGTTTGGGTACGTAAAATTGTGAATTGTGGTAATATGTGAAATTGAAAATTGTCAAGTAATAAATGTCTTGTAAATACTAAATACTCTATGCTCCTGCGCCCTTTATACGTTGCACTTCAAATCAAAATTTGATTTAAATTTATTTTATTTATTTACTTAACTTGATTTCCTCTTTTAATGTTATTTTATTGGGATTTTCTAATATGTGCCCCAAGTGTAAGGTACCGTCCCTTTTTTACCAATGGTAAAAAAGTGTCAAACATGCGCCACGTCAACTTTCACATTTTTTACAATTTTCACTTACGGACTATGGTGTGGTAAATGGTTTACCTATGAGGTTTTTTTTTGTTTGTTTTTTTTAAATTTCAATAAAAAATAAGAACTTTTTTAAAAACATACTAAAATTAAAAATTTTATTTTAGAAATCCTAAAAGTAAAAAATAACATGAAATTAAAAATTACATTAAAAACCTAAAAAAAAAACATAAAGTGAATTTAAAAAAAAAAAAAAAACTAGAAAAAAACATAACATCGAAATTTCATTTGCGGTGTAGCTTATATTTTTCGCGAATCGACTGCTTCATCGCTTTAGCCGCCTCTTGATCTTCGGGGATCTTCGGGGGTCGAGGTGTCTCACATCTTGCATTAACAACGTATACTCGGTGAGTCGGACAGTTTTAGCCATATGTCTCTCCAAAGTTGAATTCAATTGTGCCATTTGTGTCATCATTTCTTCCAATCTAGTTGACCGCTCTCTTCTGAATGAAGAATTTGAAGATGTCGCTTTCCTTTTTCCTTTTGCTCGAGCTTTTGTTTTGTCCCTTCCCATTAGAGGAGGAGGCGGGCATATTTCTTCAATGTCGTCGTTATCATCATTAAGATTAACGCATACATGACCATCCGATGAGACTTGTTGCGAGCTCGAATATGAAGATGTCCGACCTCTTTTTGGCGGATTAGCAATTTCTTTATGTGGTGCAAGTTCCCTCCACCGAATGCTTCTTTTGACAACTTCCCACACATGAATAAACTTAAAAGGCTTTATCATATCATCTTGGAATGTAGCGTGTGTTTTTTTCAACAAACTCGTTTCACTTTCTCCGCTAGCCCATTGCTTTTCAAAGTTTGTGTAAATTCCATTCCAATGTGTGACGACTTTGTTCATAAGATTCCATTTGGAGTTACATTGGTCTGAGGTCCGATAATCTGGATTTCGATCCATTCTCTTACAAAAGCGCTCCGTGATACGTAACCAAAACTGATCACGATTTTGACCATCTCCCGTGCCACCATCTTTAGATATGTCGACCCATGCCCTTGCTAACTCAACTTCTTCTTTTTGTGTCCATCTTCTCGGATCAGCATTCTCTTTCTTTTGTTGTTGAGGTTGTTGCTGTTCTTTGTGTTCGGAATCAGAAAATAATTCGGTTGAAGGTGTGAATGGTGGTTGGGATGAAAATTAGGTTTGAGATGGTTGGGGTTTGAGGTTGAGATTGGAAATGAAATTGTTGGGGCATTTGGAATTGTGAATAATAGCTAGGAACACCATCCATGTGTAGCCTGTAAGATGATGATGACGACGGATCGTAGCCGAAAAGTGTGAAAGGGTTGTTAACATTTTGGTTTGGAGCATTTTGTTTAAAAGAGTTTGGATTGTTGGATGAAGACATTTTCAATGAAAAAATATTTGTTGAGAATGTATAGTGTGGTGAAATTTTGGAAATTTGATTTGTACATATAGTAGATTTAAAAAAAAAAGAAAATTGCCAAACTAGCCGTTGTTGACCGTTTGGCAACATCCCCTACCCCATAATGCCACAAAATTTAAAATTTTGCCAACGGTAGAAGGCCACCGGCGGTATTTCACTCGCGGTAAAACCACCTTCACAGCGCGGTGTTCACCGGCGGTGAAAGGGTGACACGTCGGATACCGCCGGTTACCCCATCACAGCACCGTGTAGCCTAAGGACACATATAAGAAGTATTAATTGAAGTATTCATTATGTGAAATATTACCATAATTAAATGTGATAATTATTAATTATAAATAATACTACTATCCTTTATAATTAATGTATTTTACATTTAACTATGGTAATATTACACATAATTAATGTTCATCACATTTAGTTATAGTAATATTTTTTATAATTAATACTTCAATCAATGCTTCTTATATGTGTCCTTAGGGCACATATTAGAAAATCCCTATTTTATTTTATTATTTTGTTAATTATTACATAATTATTTGTACTATGTGTGAAATTTATTTTGGAATGTTTTGTTAATTTTATAAAGTTTTAGGATTATAAATTTAATTATTTTTTTGGGTTGTTAATCATAAGTGTTCATTACATGCTTTTTGTGCACATTTTTCCCACTAAATTTCCTCCGTATTTGAAATCTATCTATTGTAAATGCTCGTTGGCCATATTACCCGATCCATAAGGTTTGTTTTTTCATGTTAATGTATACTACATAAAAAACTAGCTAACAAATAACAATTAAAAATGATCTTATGCTTATATAGTAATGAACATTTATATACATTAATTCAGTCAAAGTAAACCATTGATTTCTCAATGAACATATATGTAGCATTGACTTGGTGTTGACTTTTGTTGCAGGTGGGGCCTTCACGGGTGCCATCACTGGTGCTGTGGCAGGTAGAGCTTCTGATTGTGGGGCCCTCCGTGGAGCTGGACTCGGTGCTCTTGCTGGAGCTGTTCTTTCTGTTGAGGTTTTAGAAGCTTCACGTGCTTATTGGTCTCAAGAACTCGCTTCCAACAGAAACTCATCAATGGTAATTAATAATCACTAATCACTCCACATTTAAATAATATTTTCCCAAAACATATATAAATATCTTATAAACATACTCCTGGTTATTATAGGCAGATTTTATGGAGGAGCTTCTTCGTGGAAGGTTTTCAGAGGAACGTTTTCCACCTGAACTTTTAACAGCATATCATTTTCAGGTCCAAATTTTGCAACAAACCATAATCCAAATGCAAAACATAAAAAAAATAATTATACTTTGGACATTATCAAACTTTTCCAGCAGGTGAGCATGAGTCCTGTTGATGTACTTGATTTTAATGATGACGTGGCACACAAAGGGTTGTCAGATGATTCATTGAGACGTTTACCATGGCACAAGATTTCAGATGAAAGTAAACCGAATCAAACCATTTGTTGCACAATATGTTTGCAGGTTTATCATATTCTCACCTCAAAACTATATATTTTTTTAATCATATATGTTTGAGTTGACCGATATCAAGTATTTGGTTGACCATGGCAGGATGTTAAAGTTGGTGAAATTGCTCGAAGCTTGCCTCATTGTCAACACATGTTTCACCAGAGTTGTGTGGATAAGTGGTTATCTAGACATGGATCATGCCCCATATGCCGACAACATGTGTAAGTTTTTGTTAAATAAATTATGTATAAAATTATTGGTGTATATATATATATTTATGTATACATGTGTGTGTGTGTTGATTGTTGTAAGAAGATGATGATGCCATTGGGATGTGTATAGCTTCTTGTAAGATGGGTTGTGTTTTGTTACAAATATGCAATTTAGGGTATGTATATGGAGTCATGGAGACTATTTTGAAATAAATGTGTTATTGTATATCTTTGAGTTAATAATAAATAAAAGGTTGATGTTGATTATAATTTATAATTGTTTTGAGTGGTGTAGAAATGAACTATTGAAGTATTGATACAAATAAAAAAATGTCGTATTCGTTAAAGGAAGAAGCCAAAATAAAAAATTACCTTCCATTTTTCTTCCGGATCCAAAATTAACATGGGAAAAAAAATCAAGATCCCACCTTAATGGAAGCAAAAAGCCAAAAACCCTACGAAAAAACCAAAATTTTCAATATTAAGGTACTTTCTAAAATTTCACTTATTTAACACTATATTTTTGAAATGTTTTATAAAGCCTTATAATCTAATTTTTTTGTTTTTAAACATATGTAATATCTAAAAAAACACAAAACATTTAATGATAACATTAAATAAAATCAGTATATTACGAGACACAAAATTAAAATGAGTAAGTATCAAATGTAGAGTTTATAATATTTCACTCATATATCCTCGCACAACATTTGATGAAACATTTTGACGATTAAACTCACGACTATTACTAATTTAATATGTATTATCGGAGATTAAAATAAGACAAATAATTAGTCAATAATTTGTAACATTCTTATTTTAGGGCGTTTTTGGACGTTTTACTAGATTAAGTTCTAAAAAATGAAATAAAATAAAAATAATTGAACTAAATATGCATAATAAAATAAATTATAGAAAATAATTAAATAAAATTATGATAGTGAAATTTAAAGATTCAAAGTTATTACAAAGATTAACTAAGAGATAAATCAAGATTTTAGTGTCGAGTAACTTTTTTTGTTAAGTTTGAAAAACTTGTGTTGACTTCGATTAAATTAGATAAACTACGTATCCTTTCCCGTTTTCAGTTGAGTTATTAGCTCTCAATTCCTTTCTAGTTCATGATTCAATCCACTACTTCCATTATAATGGTGAGATTTGGAGTTTGAATAAGTTTTTGGGGATTTCTAACCCTAGCTCCTTTAAAATTCGAATTTCATGGATGGAATTGAGTAGCTAAGATGATCTCTAAGTTCATTTCAAGTTACCAGATTATCAATCTTAGTTAAGTTTGCAAATCAAGCTTCTATTGGTGATTGTTGAGAATAATTTATGTTTTGGAGCTTCTAGCTATCATCCATGGAGTTTGAATGTAATGTAGATCGTTGATTTCACTCAAATATCTAAATAATACTTTATGATTCTATTATACAAGTTTTTTTTTTTTTTTTTTTTTTTTTTTTTTTTTTTTTTTTTTTTTTTTTCAATTGAAATCTATTATTAAGCGCTCTAATAAATATTGAAATGCATGTTGCTAATTCTAAGTTTTTGGAGGTTTTAAGCTTCTATGGAGTTTTAAGCACAAATTGACAAAAACACTCATAGATCCATTGGTGTTATTAATTAATCATGTAATTAACCTTTTAATATGTTTTGGAATTGATTCATATCATCATCAATGCAAATCATGGATGAAAACTCAAACTAACAACCATTTTTACGTTTTAAAGTCTAAAATTGAAGTTCTCAGAATGTTCATTTTGATTCAAGGTCTAATTGTGGTAATGATGATAGCGAATGCATTAAAAAAGGTGCACTTAAGATTAGAAATTAGTCTAATCATTGAAAACCATTAAAAAATGATGTTTGAAGTGTTAAAATCAAATTTAGCAAAGTAGGTTTCTATTTTTGACATTTCTGTTATGACCTGCAATTCACATAGGCTGTGTAACACCCTATATTTTAATACTAGGACTAGCATAAAATAGTAGATATTAGTTGCACTAATGTCATGTCTAATGGAAGCAAGTCCAATATATTCAACATTCCAATGGAAGCAAGTCCAATATATTCAACATATAAATACATGCCATTGCATAATTTGGGGTCTCCAAAATTCCAAATCCATAGCAACACTAATTACAAAACTACCATTAATTAAAACTGTAAAGTGTTTGCTAGGTGCTAATCCTGATGTCTAAGTCTCTTTAAATTCACACTTCCTCTTCTAAGGATCCAAGTCCAAAAACTTCAATCTTTAACATGGAACACATGTCAATAAAAGTATAGGGGAGACAATATCAATTTAGTAATATTGTTAAATAAAAAACTAGGGCTTAATTGTACATAAGGTCAGAATGCAGACTTCATTGAAGATATACAATATCACATTAGATGGTTACCAAGTGTTTATTGTGAAACTAGTTATTTACCCGAAATTGATTATTGTTTTATGCAGAAATGTCTCATTATTTTGGCAAATGCTTTGATAAAGTCCTAATTTTTTTTGAACAGAAAAATCCTGATTATTTAATTTTAGACGATAATCTGTCATTTTCTGTTAAAATAAAAATAAAGATTTTTTCGTTAATTTGGGCAAAATATTAAATAATCGAGACTTTTATGTTCAAATTTTTTTGGGACTTTATATAAAATTTTCCAAAATAATGAAACTTTTTGCATAAAACCCAATTAATTACAATTACAAGTATTTTGGGCTTGATTTTAAGAAAAAAACTAATATAGGACTTAATTGGATTTAAGTTCAAATTATATGGACTTTAATGAATATTTTCCTAAAATATATGATGCGTATTTTAATTTAGTAATTTTTTAAATTTGTGGTAAGTTAGCACTTTACCCTTTGTTGCTTTATAGAACATGGATTTACTTTGATATTTTTTAATATGTTGAAAATAGTGTCAACTGTCACATCATAAGGTAATATTACTATTAATAGTAGGTTTCTTTTGGGTTACATATAAGGATAAGTAAGAGCAAAAACTGACATGAGAGTTGTATTGGGGTTTAGTTTTGTTAATTAATTAAGATTTTAATTGATTAATAAGAAACTTGTAGACTTAAGAGGTTTAAATGTAAAGATCTTGTTGAACCCGAAAGTGACCCTATGTTGAGGTCAATACTTGCTGACCGAAGGGTGTTATAACCGAAGTTGTGAAGGGATCCAGAAGTTTCTAATTTCAGAAGGAGATGTGAAGTTCAAGATAAGTTGACTCTTGTTTTGTCTTTTAGTTATGGTAGTTAATATCTGCTAGATTGTAATGATTGTTGGATAATGAATAGACTACTTAGTCATGTCACTATCTTTTGTCAGAACTTATTTACCATTTTTTCATCATAGTATGTCTATAAAAAGGGGAACCAGGATGTGGTTCTCCTTACACGTTTCTTGGCTATCTGGATAAACAATCTACTCAATATATGATTATTCTTTGTTAACTTACAATATTCATTTACTTACGCTTTTGATCTTTCATTATTGTTCTTTATATCAGTTGTTAAGTTATTATTTCCACACTTACTTCGGTCATTTTACTTAAGAGCATTTTCCTGGTTTTATCATTTGGTATCAGAGCCTAGATTGGTTGTCTACTATCCACTCTCACCATATTATCATTGTAAGGAACCTTGGTAACTTAAAATTCAAGGAAGCTGGAAGTAGTCTTTATATACCATCGTCGCTCAAAAAATCTTTTGCAAAAATGGCTAATTTACAACCGATATATGTTGTAAATGTCTCCATCGGTCTGGGATGTTCCACATGAGCACCCATACTGATTTATTATGAATATGAACAATGGAAAACTAGAATGAGTAACTATATAAAAAGAAAAGGAAAGGATGTTTGGCGTTGTTAAGGTCAAATTATGCTGTGAGGTGTCGAAGTGTCATGAGTCTGTCTTAGCGTCGAAGTATGTATATCAGCTTTTGTTGTATGTATATCATAGGGGCACTTTTGTATGTTGAAGCTTAATAGATTTAGCCCTTATGTATTTTTTGTAAACTTCTGTAATGCCTATAAATAGGGATAGGTACTAGAGATAGAGTAACTTTTGGGCATTTTCGTGTTCTTACTCTATTTGCTCTTGTAACCTTTAGGAGTTTAATTGAGCCATCCAGATTATATTTACTCTTGTTTTCTAAGATTCAATTCAAACTCTGATTTCATTTCATTTACTCGATCAATACAAACTACATTTGGTATCAGAGAGCAGGATTCTAACAATTGATTTTTGATTTTCTCTTTGTTTCAAAAGTTTTTGAGTCGCTGTTCTAGATTCAAAAATATTCAACACTTTTGATCTAGAAAATCTTTTCTAATCAATTGTTTTGATTCGATTCTGCTTTTTGTTTGATAAATCGAGTGTTCAGTGATTGATTTCTAGAAGCTTTTCATCAATTCTGTCCGTACGTTAATGGCGAACTTCAACATGCACGATGACTGGATTTTCTCATCTCCTCGGTTCTTGAACCAAAATTCCTATGTTGATTCCTGAGTACTATGATCAATGGACTGATAGGATGAAAGATTATCTGACTGGGATCAATGAAGATCTATGGCGATGTGTAAAGAGTGGAAACTTTCGTCCTTCGATGCTTGCTGAAATCGGAAATGATGGTTCATCTGTTGATGTTGCTACTCAAACTGAAAAATACAAATCTAATGACAAACGTTGTATGCCTGAATTACGTGGAGCTCTTCCACCTGTGGTGTACAACTATGTTCGTGGATGCAAAACGGCTAAAGAGATTTGGGATACTTTGAAAGACAAGTATCAGAGAAGATGAAGAAAAGTTCTGTTAAGCAGTGTCTTCTTGAATTAGGAGAATTCAAACAGAAGGAAGGTGAGAATATTGAACTCTACCATGATCGTCTAAATGAATTAATCTTCAAATGTAGTCGATATGGAGTCAATCGTCCTACTCTTGAATTCAACTTGACTTTTCTGATGGGGCTTCGTAAGGAGTGGCGTAATATCAGTTTGATGATTAAGACCCAACAAAGTTTTGACAACTTTCCTCTTGGTGATCTCTACAATGTTTTGAAGGCTCATGAAAGTGAGATCAACGAAATAGCTGAAGAAAC